TCCTCACGTGCATGACCCCCGGGGGTGACTGAGGAGCACGGGGAAAGCTTTCCAGTGGGGTCTGTGCCCACCCAGAGCCCAGCAGGTCCATTAGAGATGCGAGCTGGTGATCAGTGCCACAGCTTGGTCCCTCAATGTGCCACATGCTCCCATGCAACTGGTGCTAACTGGGGGCAACTTTCTGCTGCCCAGTTAATTGGAGGTAATGATCTCTCCTTCCTCAGTTGCAGTCTCTGGAGGCTGTGCCCCCCTTACGGCACAGGGCAGCCTCGGTTGAAGCCTCCAGATCCTCCAGCAGCACAAGGAAACCCTGAGACATAACCACAAGCCAGGCTTCAGCATCGAGGCTGCTCAGGGAGTAGGTTTTGTGGGCTATCCCAGTGTGGTCTCACTCCTGGGGCAAGCCCAGAGCTGGTCCATCCCCACCCTGCGTGGGGCTGCCCTTCTCCAGGGAGCCTCCATGGCCCCAGGTAATGCCGAGGGGGAGCCCGGCCCATGCCTGGCGTGGTCACCAGCCTCTTCCCTGCCCGCAGCAGGGCCAGCCCAAGCTCAGTTCAGTGCATCCCAGTGGAAGATGTTCCCAGATGGTGGCTGTTTTGCTGTATCCGGCAGGAGAGACAGCTTTCCATGCTACCACAGCCTGGAGGGGACCCGTCTCCCACTGGTTCCCAGGCCTGGAGTGTGTCATACGTGCTGACCAGTACACCCAAAGGCATGGGAGTGACCAGACTGGAACAGGTCAGCGCCCATCCCGCCTCCAAGGGCATCTTCACGCTGCCTCTCAGCCGTGGCACAGACTCCCTGTTTTCAAAGAGGCATCGCAATCATCCCTCCATCCACATCCCTCCACTGCCCAGCTCAGCCGCATCAGGAAAATAATCCAGACCTAACTCACCATCCCTCTGGAGGCTGGTTTAAAAACTGCTATTTTCCCATTCTGGTTTGGAGAGCAGCGCACCGAGGCGAGCAGGAAGGAACCTCCTCAACCAGTTTTGCTGCTGGAGGGTGTTGGGGAAGTTCAGCTCTTCCACACATCTCCTCATCTCTTCCCAGCCATGGTCCCTCAAGGGCTGGCATGGGCTGACCTCAACTCATCCATCAGGGAGCATGGTTGTGTTGTCCGCAAGCATCGCATTCCTTGCCTTTCCAGGAAAATAACGAAGAGCCCAACAGCGCGTGTTGGTGCTGCACTGAGGGTCCAGCACAGGCACCGGCTGGTTTCTGGCTTCTCCTCACACGGTGATCTGGTTTCTCAGGAAGCCTCATCACAAGCCTTGCCCAAAGCCCAAATGATTTATTCCAGCCACTTCTCCGCCTCCTCGCCAGTGCACTGCGACAGACCCAGGGAGGGCCCAACGCTGGCTGGTCCCCTGTGGTCCATGTCCCTCTGGCTCGGCCAGGCGTTTGCCTGACGTGATGCTGGGAACACTCCCCAGCCAGAGGCTCCTGGAGCTTCTGTAAACAGCCCCAGGCTCTCCTGGGCTGCCGGCCACGGTGGCTGCCAGACGGCCACGCTCCCGATGCTTTCATCACCAGAAGCAGCAGGTCCAGGACAGGGTCTCCCCACCAAGGAAGGGATCACTCCCTGCACATCCCCACCTCGGCAGGGGATAACTGACCTCCAAACACCACCTGAGCCAAGGGGAGGCAATCTCTAACCTCCACCAGCTGCCTGCAATTCATCCTGCCGACACAGCAGCATTGCAACTGCCTTAATTCCCCGGGGTGCCTTAGCTGGCACAGGAGAGCAGCGTTTGGTGTAATAAGGACCAGGTTTGGCTTCTTTCTCACCCCTCAGTCATTTCCTATCCTCCGCCCTGGGCTGCTGACCTGTCCTTCCTGAAAGGCTGCTCTTTGAGTCCATCAACTGGCTCTTGCACAAGCTAGCCTTTCCCTAACTCCAGGCTGTGCCTCAAGCCCTGCTGGGGATGAGGAGCTCACATCAGTGGGGCTGGATGTTGGATGGATGGCTGCGGCCATCGTGTGTCCCTCTTGCTCCTCTGAGATGCCCAGGAAGAGCAGGAGCCACAGCGCCTGGAGATGGAGCAAGTCCCGCGGTGCTCCGTGAGGGAGCTGGATGGAGGAGGATGGAGGTGAGGCCCATCTCTTCTTGCAGAAGGTTGCTTTCCCAGCCTCACCGTGGAGGAGGACGCCTTTTGCCTTGGGCTTAACTGGGAGCGCCAGCTCCACCAGCAAAGATGCAGGAACAGCATGTTCGTCCCTGTTTCTCAGCCACACCTTCCAGAAGCTGGTGGCCGGGTGTGAGCACTCCCCACCTCCCGTCCTCGCACACCCCCATGGTCCAGCACATCTTGTTCCCACCTCTACTTTCCGGCGGGACCTGCAGGCACCAAAGCCCTCCGAGCTCCTGGGGATGACCTGCCTCTCCTCGCCCACTCCCATGGTTTGCAGGTCCAGGGACAAGAGCAGGTAGGTGTGTGCCGGGCCACGGTCCAGAGTCTGTCACTGGTGACAGGAGGACAGCGTCGCTGGCTGTCACCGAACCCTGTGACCCCCTTCGGGGCGCTCGCCCACGAGGGGTGTTGCAGGAGGGCGGTGAGTCAAGCGCCCCGGGGCTGGCTCCGTGTCACTCTTGCGTTAGAGCCGAGGTGACGGGACTTGCCCACGCGCTGAGCCCGCAGCACCCAGCCCTGGCCCTGGCCTCGGGGACGCAGGAGGCAAAGCCGGGAGTCCGGGCAGCCAGGCTTGCTCCTGTGCCCAATGCCCTTAGCTCTCGCCCCTTGCATTACACCCTTGTCCAGCCCCTGGCTTTACCCATCATCTCGCTCGAGGAGGCAGGCTTCCAGCCTCTGATTTTTGCACAGTCCAATGTTTTCTACGAGCAGGGCTGCTCTACACCAAGCTCCATCCCCTCCTGCCATCCTCTCTGCATCCTCCTGGACTCGTTGCCCTTTTCCAGAATATCTCTCCAGGTTTTCCCTCACCCTTGGGACACCATGGGGCTTCTGCGGCTCCATGGGAATTGCTGGTGGGGCTGAACCTTCACGCTTGGGCTCCTAGGGAAAACACAGCTTGTGGGGGATAGAGGCTTCTGGGTTGTGGAGGTGCACAGACCGCGGTGAGCTCCCCAACGGGATGCTCTTCACAGCCTGCACCAGGGAAACCAGACAAGGGTCAGCTTTTCCACTCGAGTGGAGATTTCTCCAGCCAAGCCAGCTGACCGGGCCAGCATCCCGCCTGCAGCCGAGGGAGGGAGAGCCCCGAGACACATCCATCGACCCGGCCAGCCAACCTGCGGACTGAAGGTAATCTGCAGGCCCAGAAACATCTGGAAAACGTTCAAGTCTGGTTTAACCCTTCCTTCCCCACACATGAGCTCTTTCATTTCAAGGCTCCTTTGGTCCTTCAGGGCAAACATCCTGGGAAAGGTGACTGCGGGGGGTCTGGGCTGCCCAGTTTGGGTCCAGATGCCAAGGAATCGCCATTGCCTCTCTGTTTTGCCCCAGCTTGCCTGGACACGCACGCTGCTGGGACCATGCATGGGGCTGGAATTAGAAACCTGGGAGATGGCAGGTGTCAAAACCAGGTCCCCACCGAGCACGGCTCCCCGCTGCCTTGCAGAGAAGCACAGAGCCAAGCTTTGCATGGGGCAGAGGCGGGGGTCCTGGGATGGATGCGGTGCTGGGAGCTGCAAGGAACATGCATCCCGTCTCGTAGCTGGCTGCATTGCTTGAAACATTATTTAGGTGTGATAGGGACTTTTATTTTAAGCAACCCATTCATCTGCATGGCGAGACTGAAAAGAGCAACGAATGCAGCAGAGCTCTGGTCCCTTGTAGCCCAGCCGTACTTGGGGCAAGGCTGGGGGGGCTTCAGCTTGCGGCTCCGTGCTGTGGCTCCATGGTGTCCCGGCTGGGGCACAGACCTGCCAGGGGCTGCGAGCCTCCCCTGTGCCGGTACCCTGCAAACGTGGGAGCCTTTAGGCGCTGCGATCTCCCCTGAACCCCGTAGCTTCGTCCAGGCCTGCTCAGAGCGCTGGGAAGGTCATTGCTAAAACTGCTCCGTGCACATACAGAGATGCTCTGGGGGGAGGGATGGGGGTCCCCACCCCTGGGGTCCGTCAGCTCTGCCTCCTTCAAAGACATCTCCCCCAAACCCCTGCTCGTGGCCCAGCAGCAACCGGCCATGGGTTGGGAATGGCCAGAGCAGATCAGCGTCTCCATCGCGAGGCCACCACAGCTTCCTTCCACGACGGATACTGTCCTGACTCCGCGCCATGGCTGTATGTGGCTATTCCTGCCCCCATCCCTGTGGGGAAACTGAGGCACAGAGAAGGCTGTGAATAGCCCAAGGTTTGGCAGCACGGCCTGGTTGAAGCCCCAGCAGTCCTGGGGAGGATAAAGATGCTTTCCCTGTGGCTGCTGGGGTCGTGCAGCTCCCAGAGGGGAACAGGGGATGCAGCCAGCACCTCCCCTGGGACACGCAGGACAGAAGGAAGGGCAGGTCCCCTCTGGAGCTGCCCCCAGGATCTGTGGGGCAGCATGAGCCAGACCCTGAGCTCAGCCTGGGTGTCCGTACCCCGACAGAGACAGATGTGGTGTTCCCTGCTCATGGGGGTGCTCTGGCTTGAGTCCGTCCAGGAGGAGGGGGCATCTTCAGCCCAGCACCTCCAGGGTGGGCAGCATCGGGGGGCAGCCAGGGCTCCTTCCTCCCCCCTGGCTGGAGCAGAGAGTGAATCCAGGTTGCTGCACGGAGAAGAAAGGGGATTGCAGCCTTGCATACAAAAATACTATACTCTATTGCTCACTCCGCTGTCCATGGCCCTCGCCTGCCCGCAGCCCACACGGGCTCCTGGCTGCCTCGCAGTGCTGGACCTGGCGCCCGCAGCCGGTGGCACGGGCGAGCAGAGGCTGGTCTTGGCTGGCTCCAGCGCAGCCCCGTGCCCGGTTCTACTGGGAGCAGAGCCGGGGGGCTGCCCCCGCCGCCGGCAGACAGGCTGCCGCATCCCTGCTCCGGGCCCCCTTCGGCCCTCCATCCCATCAGGACTCCAGGTCGTGGGAGAGCCGCAGCAGCTCCTTCTGGCTGTCGATGGCTTTCAGGTGCTGCAGGTACGCCCAGGTGGAGACGGGGCTCCGCACGCTCAGGGACTGCTCCGAGCCTGCCGGGGAGAGCTGAGGTCAGGGCTGGGCTCCTGCCTCCAGCTGGGCTCACTGAGCCCCCTCCATCACCTCCGGCTCAGCTTGCCAACCCTCTCCATCACCGCTGGCTCACCTCATGGATCCCCCTTCACTGCCTCTCGCCTGCCTCACTGATCTGCTTCCACTGCTGCTGGCTGGGCTCATGGATCCCCCTCTACTGCCCCTTGCTCAGCTCATTGAAATCCCCTCTTCATCACCTCTCCCTCATCTCACAGATCCCCTCCATCACCTCTCTCTCAGCTCACGGCTCCCCTCCATCACCTCTCCCTCGGCTCACGGATCCCCTCCATCACCTCTCCCTCGGCTCATGGATCCCCTCCATCCCCTCCAGGAAACCCCTGGAGCTGAAGGAGCAGGAGCAAGCGGGGACAGACTTGCTCCACGGGGCAAAGCGATACCCCAGCTCGCTGCCTGACAGCTGGAGTACTTCAGACCAGCTGGAAGCACTCCGTCACTCCCTTCAGCATGAGGAGGTGCTGACTGGTGCCTCCAGCCAGCAGTGTGCGACCCACAGGCTTGGACCATGCAGGAGAGGGAGCTCAGCCTCCATCCTGGGGTACTCTGAGGCATCAATGGCTTGCGGAGCAGCTTGCACCCACCATCACCAGGCTGATGCCCTCGGGATGTCCCCACGGGACCACCCCCAAGGACGGTGGGTGCAGCTCCCCCGGGCTGGCCTCGTCCGGCCCCGCGTAGCCCCGAGGGGTGGGGGTCTCCCAGCGCAGGGGTGGGGGGCGGAGGGATGAGCCCCAGACATACATGTGGAGATCCTGACAGCCTTGGGGTCCTCTGGCCGGTGCGGGGAGCGATTTCGCAGCGGGGAGAGCGGAGCTGGGTGTGGACAGAGAGCAGGAGCTCAGCCCCATCCCCAAAGGAGCACTGGTGCTCGGCCCCGTCCTTGCCCCCACCCAGGAGCACTCACCATGCGCGTGGCCCCGGCAGCGCTGCAGGACGCGCACCGTCTTTGCCATCATGTGCTGTGGGCAATGCACAAAGGTCACTTGCTGTCACCTGGCCCCACTTTGCTCCCCGGCTGGTAAAACACAGTCCCCTCCAGCTTCAGCGGCGGCTGCGGCTACCCCGGACGGCCAGGGGTCCTGGCTG